TTTATTTTATAAAGCGATTTATCCCATACAAACTCCAAGTAAGTGAAAACTCTCTTCAGATCCCCCACCTCATTATCAGTCTGATCATGGAGAAGGATCTACGCGACGCATACGCTGCGCTCAAGCTGCTGCGCGCGGACTTGGTGCAGACCCGCCGCGATAAACGAGCACTAGAAGCTTCACTGACCCACCTGAAGGCCCACGGGCCGCCACCGAGTGCCGCACAAATCCGTGAGAGTCGAGAGACGCAACAGATGCAGCATGAGGACGCGCGTGCGCAATTATGGCGTCAGGCTTCAATTTACGAAAGTCGATTAGCGGAAATGGAAATACAATTATTGCACAATAATTGCCAAAACAAGGAGGCAACACCAGAAGTTGAAGATAATCAGCAAGGAGAAGAAGAGGAAGTGGAGAAGCTCGCGCTGCTTAACAAGCTACATAGTCTGACAGCCACTGTAAAGCAGCAGACGCAGACGATGTTGACTCAACAAGCAGCTTTTGCGTTGCAGAAGGGCGAGCTGGAGACGACACTGGAGGACACACAGCACCAGCTACAGTCGGAGAGGAACAAGGCGGCTGATGCTCTGCTGGAACAACAGGCAGCTGAAGAGAACTATGAGTTTTTGGAGACTCAAGTGGAGATCTTAAAGCAGGACAAGAAAAAGCTCGAGGAAGAGAACGAAGCACTGCAAAATAAACTGGCGGCACATGCACAGACGAGCAGTATACTGAAGCAGCAATTGGAGGAGAAGGAAGAGAAAGAGAAGGAATTGAGGGACGAGCATAATCGAGAGACGAGTGATCTGCAACACAAGTATGAACTCCTCGAGTTGGAGCTTAATAATGAGAAGGAGAAGAAGCTGCAAGACCAGGCGACACATGACAGATACGCTTCGACGTTAAGAGAGTTCGAGAAAACCTGTGAGGACTTACAGACAGAAATTGCAGCTTCTGAAGCCAAGCGAAGTGCCGAGGCGAAGGAGCACGAAGCAAAGTTAGCAGAGACTGGAGAGACATACGCTTCGAAGCTGGAAAAGGTGGAAAGTGAGTTAAAGGAAGCGCGAAAGCAGCTCGCAGCATTGGAGACAAGCAACGCTATCGAACAGAAGGAGCAAGAGGCGAAGCTTGAGGAGGCTTTGGGAAGACTGCGAGACCAGGAGCAACAGGCCATGACGCTGCGTGATCTGGAGAATAACTTCGCTGACGTGCAGTCAAAACTTACGGCTGCTGAGACTAAACTGGCTGACGGAGCGAAGAAATACGAGCAACAGCTTGCTGAGGCTTCTCAAAAGTTACTTGATCAGGAGCAAGACCACAAGCGACACGCTAGTTCACTACGCGATGTGGAGAATGACCTGGCTGGAGCCCAGACACAACTCGCAGACACCGAGGCCAAGCTACAGTTAAGTGTGAAAATGTTCGAAGAGAAGCTCGCGCAGACGTCACAACTTGCTGCACAACATGAGAAAACGGCTCGAGTCTTAGCTATGGAGAAAAAGGCGCTTCAGCAGGAGGTCCGTGAAGCTCGACAGGCCTCTAAAGCGAAGGCCGAGGAGCTTCTCAAATACCAGTCTTTTATGGAGCAGAAAACTCTGGAATACATGCAGTGTTTAAATCTGGTTCAAGCGCAGTGCGAGTCTCTCGAGACGCAACTGTTATCAGTTGAAGACCACAAAGAGTCATCTCACGACAACCAAGGCGAAGATTCGTACTTGTTGAAGGCTTTCCATGGTCTTAGCGATCCAGAAATCATCGCTTTGCCTCCTTCCAAGTCGTGGTCTCTGTTACGCTCGGGGATAACTGAGCTGGGCGAGTTCTTGCCACAGCTTCAGACACTGATCAGTGCTGTGAGCGATATGTTAGCGTTGTGCGAAAGCCACGCTGCTTCACTTCCTACACTGTGCGAGCGTCTTGAAGGCAAAATAGGCAGCGAAATGGACCAGCCGATCCTGGTAGTTACGCTGAGGTTGGTGCGCTTTGCAGTCATGTTGAAGACTCGAATTCAGCAAGAAGAAGCTCCAGTGTCTGTAAAATCCGTTCAAGCTCTACGTAGACGCGTGTTGGATGCTCTTGCTCAATGGTACGAATGTGACGCTGGTGATAGTGATCACACTGGAAATGGGGCCATGCCCACACCCACTTTTACTACCACTTCTCGTGAAACAGCACTCATCCTTCAGAACTGGACCAGTGACCGGACTAAGCAGATTGGAGTGCGACGCTGGCTGGCACGAATGGAAGCGTATCCTGGAGTTCCGCCACTTCGAGGAGCGTCGTCAAACCGTGTACTGGAACTTCCTCCTGAAGGTTGTACACTCGAACTGGAAGCAATGACACCCGAGGTCAAGGACGCTTTTCTATTGCTACTGATCCCGATCTTGAAGCAAAACCGAGCGCTACATGTACGTGTGTTCACGCGCTACATTGACGACCGTGAGATCGCATCAAGCAGCGATGAAGACACCGGAAAACTGTGGGCTATGCGGATCCATGTCCAGAGTGCCGTCGCTGTGCATGCCCATAAATCTCGCCCAGCTCCGCTCAAATTGACGAGCTCTTCTGGCTCACCCAGTCCGCTAGCGCCCAATTCTCCGGCATCGTCAGTGTCATCGTCGACTTCCAGCTCTGCAAGCTCGAGACTACAGATTATCCAAGAACGCTTGCAATATCTGCACAATAATGCATAAGAAATAACAGAATTAAATAAATATGCATTATGTCAATATTTTTCTTGTGTTGAAAATGCGTTAACAACGAAATAAAAAACCAGAAATAAAAAAAAATTACAGGTAAATTCGCGGTTTCTCTTTCGTTATGTTGGCTTCTGCTCTGCGTCTGTGTCGTTAAATCTCTGCAGCTTATTCAGCTTTCTTCTTGGCCTCAGCGAACATGAAGTCGTAGTCGTGGATCTGCGTCTTCAACGAGTCACGTTCCTCCGTGAGCTTGGTAATCTGCTCACGTTGACGCTTAATCTCTTCTTCCTGTGTCTTGGCCGTCTCGAGCTGCTTGTCCGACTCGTTCTTCTCGTCCATAAGTTTCATGTAAGCCGAGCTCTGCCCCTCCGCTTGTTTTGTCACAGAAGCGACCTGATCTTCCGCTTTCTTAAGTTTCTCGTCCAATGTCTTGATCTTCTGCTCCAGATCCGCATTCTCCTGCACCAATCTGGCTAGAGCGTCCACTTTCTTCTTCTTCTCCTCTCCTTCTTCATCGCCCAGCAACTGGTGCAGCTTCTCCGTCTGCTTCTTAAACGACTCGTTCTCAGCCAACAGCGACTTGTAGCCGGCTGCAGCTCCCTCCGCCTGCTTCGTCATGGCTCCTAGACTCTTCTCCAAGCGGAGATTAGTAGCTAGCGTGATGTACACGAGACGTAGCAGCAGGAACAGGAAGAGACAGAAGCCTGTGATGTACATGTCCCGCTGGGCTGTGAGCAGACGGATACGCATGCCATCGCCCAGCACCTCGTCCGACGACGAGTGCTTGTAAACTGTCATGACATCGGCTGTAAATAAAATAAAGAAGAAGAAAAAAACAGTTAGAGAGAGTTGGTCATATCTCGACTTGTAGTGCAGCTACGGAGCCGATATTGCCACCAAAATGTAGGTATTAATGTTGCACGTACAGATAAAGAGGAGCGAGATGATGGAGAGCACCACAGTGGCCACTGTGTTGGCTGGAGTGTCCTTTAGAGTCTTCGCTAGGAAGGTGATGACGGCGTGCGCGATCCACTGGCCGAACGGGAGGCTCAGCAACAGGCAGATGATGGCCTCTGATATCATCAGCCAGAACATGAGTTGGTTTAGCAACATTTTGACTCTTTACGGTGTCGGGAGGAGGATCTCGGTTGGGTCTTGTCTTGGGATTCTTCCGTCCTTGGTGATTGATACGATAATGAGACGGATTTTGCGCGAAGGGGGAAAATATAGACTTGGAAATTGTATGGAAGAAATGTGTGTAGCACATAAACTGCGAAAAGTATCTGTGACGTGTGAAAATGGCATTGGGCGCAACGTCTCGCCATAATCAGCCATGATCTTTTCAAACATACTTCCTAGTGAGATAGTGATAGATCGCGTGGTACCTACTCGCGGGCCTCTAACGCCAGCAGCTAGTGCCGACAGGACTCCTCGACGAAGGAAACGCCGAATATCATCTGCATGTTCTTGTGGAAGATGTTCTTGGTAGCATTTTGTCACGATCGAGCTCGACGTGGCAGAACGAACATCTGTAGATGCTGCTTCCTCCAAGATCGTCTTTGATTTCACCGCAGCTGGAGCAAGTCTTCGAAGTGTACTCCTCTTCGCATTCGATCATACGTCCGCCGACGCGCTCCATCTTGTACTTCAGCAGCATCTTGAACTTGAAGTGCGACTGAGCCAACAAAGCTCGTGCCGTCGAACTGCGAATTTCGCGCTTCTTTCCTTTTGTTGGTTGAACAGCAGTCTCCGTGACTTCGTCTGATGAAGTCGCCGGCGTGCCGTCAGCTGCTACAAGCTTCTCGTGCTTTCGTACCATCTCCGACGTGTTGAACGAAGGTAGAAGAACTCACTTGTAGTTCACCGCTAGCCACTTTGAGAGCTTCTGATGCATGTCATTGACCATCCGAGTCACACGACGATGCGTAAAGCGAATAACCCTTCGATGACGATATCGCTCACGATGAAGCTGCATCTTTTTCTTCTTCTTCGTCTTCTTTCGTTGTCGAATCATCGTTTCGTGTTTGGCCTTGCTCTCGTTGTCCATCAGCGCGAGCTTCGACTTCATGGCGTCGATAGTGTCGAACGCCGCTTATGTGTCTTTGACACTGATCGTACGACCGTCGGGATCGTAGATAGCCGCAAAGTT